AAAAAAAAAAAAAAAAAAACCCATCCGATACTTTCTTGATAGACCGGACCGTATTTATACCCCAACACTCGGCAGATTTCAACACGATGGTGAGCCGTTTAAACACGACAACATTAGAAAAGCAGACAGTGGTACTTTTAATTACTACGTTAATAACTTTGTATAGTTCATTAGACGGTTGGTCAAAAATATACTCATATAATATGTTTCAAACCGCAATAAAGATCTTAAAAGAACGATGTATTTGAGTATTTTATGACTTGGAATTGTGGGTAATCCCGAGCGTACTGTAGATCAAAACCATAACCGTTACGTACAGTGCGTTAGCTATGATGGATACCAAAATGAGGAATTCCAGAAAAGAAGAAGCAAAGAAGAGCTGCTTGTATCACAGTTTCAAAGATTACGCTTTATGTTATTGGCTAATCGACATGGAGTGTTTTTTTTTTTGTTTTTTTATGCATTAAAAATGTTTCTTGTATTGCTGCTAAAAGGCGTACATATTTCGATCAGAAAGAAAAAACGCATAGTTATTACCACTACTCTAAAGTAATTAATAATCAAACTATATTAATCTCACACTGAAGAAATTAAATTTGACCAGGGGTGGAGCTAGATGGAGGGTGGCCATGGCCACCCTAAACCAATCATTGGCCACCCCTACAAATTTTCTCCCCTAATACAGCAGAGCAGTAATACTCTGAAATGGAATATTCAAAGCATTTTAATTTTTTTATGGTTAATTATACACATCAATATAATAACATTAAAGATGATAAGTACAGAATTAATGCTCTTTTCAGAACTAGATTTTGTGTTATATGTGGTAAAGGGAAAATTATGTCTCTGCAAGTTCTCTGGGAGTCTTCAGTGAAATCATAGATGAATAACAATTCTAATAAAAACTTATCAAATAATCAATTTATGTAGATATTAGTGCTTGTAAATATCAATTTTATGCAGAATTGATACAAGAAGATAAGTAATGACAATGTAAAAGGTTTACGCCCCAGATCTCAAAACTGAAAGTTTTATCCTCTATACCTTTTATCTAGAAATTACGGATGTTTAAATATATGTCATAAATATGTATTTGTTAATAAAGGCTGTAGGAAAGTATATTTTGTCTTTATTTAGAAAATATGGATGTTTTGCTCTTTTCCTGTTGGAATAGTGTAGATTGACCCTGAGTTCTGGTGCCTATCCTCTTTGAGCCACCTCTCACTGTACATTGGTTTTTGCCTGGCCACCCTTATAAAGATTTTCTGGCTATACCTCTGCATTTGACCCATCCCCTTGGGGAGCAGTGGGCTCCCATTGCGCGGCATCCGGGGAGCAGTGTGTGGTTAAGGGTCTTGCTCAGGGACCCAGAGTGCAGGCTGTGGGGATAGAACCTATGTTAACCCCAGTTAGGTTATACAAGGCTTGCTTTGGTGTGGGTGCACAAAAATTAACAACAAAAAACGATAATAGAACCTGTATGCTAAAACTATTAGATAAGATTGAATAAAAATGATGAAATCTGTATTTATCATCTTTGGTGTTAGTATATTGATGTGTATAATTAACCACAAAAAATGTAAATGTTTTAAATATTCCTCTTGAGAGTATTACTCCTGCCACCATTTGTATTAGAGGGAAAAAATGGTAGGGGTGGCCACACGGGTGGCCAATGAATGGGTAAGGGTGGCCATGCCCCCCGGGCCCACATCTAGCGCTGCTCCTGCTAGTAATAGGCTAAAAAATGAGAAGTCTTTAAAGTTCTGGTTTTAAACATTTCCTGCCTATTTTCTGAAATATTGTTGGTCGCACTTTACACATTACCCTTTTTATTCATTAGTTTTTGACTTCAAGGCTAAGTTTAATGGTTGTGACGTTTGACATCTTTATTTTATTTCTGTTTTTTAATACATGGATAATGGGAAACATCTTTTGTTTAAATTTTCACAAACTCAGCGGTTCATAGAAATATATATTCGCAGCCTTCCGTTTCCCCTGAGTTCTAATATGAAGTGACACAGAAGCCTGTTTTTCCCAACGACTCGTAAAAATAGGAAATACCAGAAAAACTGAAGCAAGATGCTCAGCCAGTGACCAATAAATACTGTCGCTCTGAGGCCTTTTGCACATCAATCTGTTATGTGGTTGGCTCACTGCTAGAGTTGTACAGACACCAACAAACTGCATCCAGTCTTACTTTAGCTGTGCTGATGCTGGTACACCAGAAAAGTGCACTGATGTAATATGCTAATGCCTATGTACTCTCTGCTTCCAAAAAATACTGCTCACCCACAACATGAATAAAAGACAAAATAACATGTTACTTAATTCAGTGAGATTATGATGATGATGGAATCTTTAAAAACTACATTAGATTTTTGCATTTGATCTATTAATTCTGGCTTAGACAAAACAGAATAGCTACAAGCTAATATTTCTATCATGTTGTTGCAGTTTCTGGATATTCACTGTAACCGCTGTGCCTTGGTCTCCAGCTCCGGTCAGATGCTTGGTGCCCGTGCAGGAAATGAAATCGACCAAACCGAATGTGTGATCCGTATGAACAACGCCCCAACCAGAGGGTTCGAGAAGGACGTCGGGAGTCGTACTAATATCCGAGTCGTTTCTCACACCACTGTTCCCCTATTGGTAAAAAAGGAGTGGTATTATTTCAAGCAATCTGCAGACACAACGTATGTGTTTTGGGGCCCCGAGAGAAACATGAGGCAAGATGGAGAAGGAATTATTTTCAATAACCTCCTGAAGCTGGCCATAAAGTATCCGAAAGTGAAAATGTATGTGATGACCAGAGAAAAGATTCTGTACTGTGACAACATGTTTCAGAATGAAACGGGAAAAAACAGGTATGATGTCTCAGCTGTTTCATCTACAAGTTTTAAACTTTGCAATAAAGGGATCAAGTTTGCAACTAATATGTTACATTTACCACCACAGTTCCCAGTCCACCTTTTCTCTGCTGCAAGAATTAAATGACATAAACATCCCTTTTTCAACAAACATCTTTAGATAAGTAGCAATTATACTTGAATGAGATGAAGGAGACATTATTCTAGCTTGACCTATTCATAATAATTTAAAAATTTTCTGAAGATTTTTTTAAATAGGGCCATCAAAAGCACTCAAAATTTATTTTTTCTTCCTTAGTTCCAAGATAAAACAGTTTCTCAAATGTCTTGAGAGCTGTACTGAACGGAATTTAATTTTGTATACACCCTCTGTGTACAAAATGGCAATAAAGTTTGTCTTGGTCTATACAGACTAAACTCGAACAGGTATATTTGAAACAAGCAATATAAACACAGAACTTTTAGTTTAGGCACAACAATTACTTGAAAACCTAAAGTGATATCTTTAATTGCTGTTTTGTGATGCAGATCCGTTTCTGATCTGATCTCATTAATCACCCCCCATGTATTTGATGTATGTGTGTGCATTTTGAAGAATATATTTACATTGTATTATTAAAAGGCTGAATCCACTATAGATCAATGGCCTGTGAGCATGACTAATTTAGACAGTGTCGCAAACCTAAAACCTAACCCAAATTCTACATCCTCCTGTCACGTACAGTTACCTGGAGCCAGAGGAGCAATTATGTTGTTATGTTAATTAATGAGAACATTTCCTTATTCTCCATAACACCTCAACGCATGCAGGTGGTGTTGCTTTTCAGAGATGGTGTGGAGGCAGCCTGCAACACACCTGCAATGAACAGGAGCAGAGGATGTGGAATCTGGGCAAAACCGGGAGCTATTGAAAAAATAAATAAAACAAAAAATTATATATTTTTAAACTACTCTTCAATATACATTCTGCCTAATGAAAAAATAAATATTTTTAATAATTTTATTCAAATTATTAATGTGTATCATATGCAATGCATTCAAGATTTTTGAGCAATTTATTATTACTATAATACATTTTATTAATAGTTATGCATTTCCTGTTCACTACATCTGTCTGATTGTATAAATCAGCTTTTTCAAAAAAAAAAAATATATATATCATACTGATGCTATAGAGTATGGTTTCTTAACCCTGGTCCCCAGGGTCCACTGTCCTCCACGTTTTAGGTTTTTCCCTGCCTTCACACCCTGTCCTAAATGAAAATGTGATTAAGAGGCTTTTGAACCATTTGATGGCTGGCAAGGAGGAACTGCAATCATTTGAATCAGGTGTGTTTGGGTAGGCACACATCTAAAACATGAATGATGATGGGCCCTGAGGATCAGGGTATAGAAACTAATACAGAGCTTTCAAAAACCCATGTCAGACATTTGATACATTTAGTTTTACAGGGTTACCTAAAGAAATGTTGACAAATTTTGATTTCAAAGCCCTGTAACTGCTGCTATGCTGTCAAAACGATCTGTGCATCTTTTTATAATGAGCTATCATAATCACTTTTCTCTGACTGAAAATGTCCTTCTTATTCAAATGTATTTGTATTTGCTAATGGAAATACTTTGGAATCATTGCAGGTACTAATTTAAAAGTGCTGCAACACACTGATTGCATAACTGTGGCCAGAAATAAGCACAAGTGATTGCACAGCTAAACACATAGGTCATATCTTTACTACAAAGTACAGCTTCTGCTGTACCGCCCGAACAATTTGTCTATTCACAATGAGGAAACATCCCTATTTTGTGACAATTTCAGCAAATGAGGTCTATGTGAGATGACCTGGGGTCCTTTTCAATAAGCAGGTTTAGTGAAAACTCCAAGTTTCCTAAACCTGAAATCTGGGAAACTGAGTTTTGCATTTCAAAAAGAAAGTTTACGCAACCTGTGTTTCTGTTATAACATTTTCCCCAGAGCTAAGCAGGCCGGGAGCAGGTTGTCTTCATTAAACTCAGAGTGTCCCCTGTCTCCACTTTCCTTGGCTATGTTCACACTGACGGACTTGATGCTCAATTCTAATATTTTTGTGAAATCCGATATTTTTTGTGTTGCCATTCACATTTCCAATTATATCAAACTTGTATGTGATCTCCAGTGTAAACTGCATTCATACAGCTTAAGTGTCCCGCATGCGTAGTAGAGGACGCAATGACGTCACA